CAACACGTAATACACATTTTTTTACAGAAAAATGTATTATATTTTAGCAAAATTTTGGAATACGTTTAAGTCGTAGAATAATTTTAACAGTTGTTTTCGATACATATTTGAGTCCTCTACAAATAGTTTCCCATGACTTTTGGTGTAAAATAATTAGGGAAGCAGGAATTCAACAATTTAGAATTTCCCATTGAGTTTCCTATGGCCCGTTTGACGATTCACCACCCTGTATATATATATATATATATATAATATATATATATATATATATATATATATATATACATATATATATATATATATATATATATCCGGTTTTTTAGGCGTTACGCCCGTCCGGTAGGGATCTAGGTAGAGTATCACCGAGCCGCAAGCCCTTATCTCTTGCCGTACTGCTCCACCATAGGCCGATCAGATCCCAGCATATCCTAGTCTAAGCCGCAGATTCATCTAGAATTTTAAACTGCTGCGTTAGACTTTTTGTTTTCTGTACACCGAGCTGGGGCTCGATCCCACATCCACTGAACCATTCGACAGTGAAGCGAATGAGAGGCAGCCGCACAGCCCGCTGAGCTATCTGACCGACACCCTTAATTATTGTTGTAAAATAATGGTAAATTAAAAGTTTTTAATTTTGAATTAAAAGTTATCATTATCTTCTGTTGCGTTCTGGAAGGCAATCTCTGGCAGTACTAGATGTTGGTAAGATTGGTAATATTCGCGGTATGGCCTAGATATTAAGTTTTATTCACATAGTGACAAGAGGTTTTTTTTTCTTCGCATCCGTGATTAGGAGCCTTTTTTCATATGCCTTAACGGGGTTTATACTATTATGTTTGCCTCTTTTTTGTTTGGTTTCAAGAGATCAAAAGTTTCCGTCAATGCTAGTCTTTATAAAAAGTTTGTTATTTTCATTTTCCGATACTGGTACCATATACCATCACTATATTTAACATTAGTATTTCCATTACTTGTTTGCTCTTCATCCTTTACTTCATTTTCTTTTTCATATTGGTTTTGCTTGTTCTTTGGTTTTATTTAATTTTCTAGTGCAAATGTCACGTTTCTTTCTTTCCTTCTTTCTTTTTAGTGCAAATGTCAATTCAAACGGCCATCGCTTAGTGCGTGCAAGTCTTATGATTTGTGCCTATCCTTCAAGGATGTATACAGGGGAATTTTTTGACTTAGATTCAATTTTTGAATGGACAGAATCGCATTCCATTTCGGAGTAACTCGGTACAAAAAAACACATGGTCAATTGTTTTTAAATTTGGGTGACAACTAACAATAAATTGACACATGGCAGAAAAAGCAAAGTTTTTCTATTGTCCACCGCCATTATCGGACATCATTGTGACATGTTCAATATCAGAATAAGACATGATGTATTTAAATATATAAATGTAATAATTTCAATACTATCGCGTTTTCCCTCGGTTTCATCCCATATGAAACACTGGACGCTCCCGTCTCCTAAATTATAAATGGTCAAATTATAAATGGCAAGTTTTCTCACATAAAAAAGGTCCTGCAGCTCCTTTAGGCGTTGTTAAAATAGATTGCAGATCGAAATTACATGCCAATATTTTCCTATTCTGTCCTATTTCCTATACTAATAAATGTTACACATTTGTCATTTTGCGTTGTACAAATATGTCTCTAGTTATATTTATAGGATTATTTATAATATATTTATTATTAGGATTTGGCACAAGAGAAGCACTTTATAGCTTAACTGTCCAACTTCAGAAATGCAGAGATCAGCAAAAATATGTCTTCTTATACTTTATAGATTAACAGAAAGCATTCGATTGTGTTAATCATTCAGGATTAGTAAGATTGCTCCAGGAATGTTCGATAGATGAGAATGACCTTAAAATCATAAAGAACCTTTATATGAATCAAGTGGCATCTGTGAAAACAGGACTGGAATCTACATCATATTTCTCAATCGAAAAAGGTGTACGACAGGGTTGTGTTCTGTCACCCATCCTTTTTAATCTTTACTCTGAAACGATTTTCGATAGAGCCTTAAGTGACACTGAAGATGGAATCAAAATCAACGGACAGACTATTAGTAATCTTCGCTATGCTGATGATACAGTCATAATAGCTGATAGCCAAGAAGCGCTACAACGACTAATAGATAGAATAAATACTGAAGGAGAACGACTGGGCTTGAAGGTTAATATAGACAAGACGAAGGTAATGGTGGTTAGTAGAACACGATATATGCTATTAAATACAAGAGTTAACAATAAGATCATCCAAAAGGTCCCCAAGTTCAGATACCTCGGTAGTTGGATAACTGAAGATTTAGATCCAGACATAGAGATACGTAGCAGGATTGAGCAAGCCAGAACAGTATTTACTAATATGAGACCCTTGCTAAGCAACAGCAGCCTCAACTTAACGCTTAGATATCGCTTTGTAAAATGTTACATTTACTCCATACTGCTATATGGTGTAGAAACCTGGACCATAAAGGCCAATGTGATGAACCGATTAAAGGCCTTTGAAATGTGGGTATTTAGAAGACTACTTAAAATTCCCTGGACAGATCACACAACAAATGTCGAAGTATTAAATCGAATGGACAGAGAACGAGAATTGCTGCCACTAATAAAAAGAAGAAAACTGCTTATCTGGGTCATATATTTCGAAATTCCAAGTACCAGTTCTTAAAGCTTATTATGGAAGGGAAGATAGAAGGAAAACGGGGCATCGGAAGAAAGAAATACTCATGGCTTAAAAACATAAGGGATTGGACAAACCTAGGTGCCCATGCACTTTTTAGAGCCACACAAGATCGGGAGGAGTTTGCCAGAATTGTCGCCAAGAAGTACCGTTCCCGTCATAAAAAAACTGGTACAACTCTTATAATCAAAAATCGTGTTTTTTAAGTTGTGTACGTTGATCTTGTCAGATGTGTCATTCCGATTTCTAGGGCACCGTTGCCAGTTCAACGAAAATATTATATAAAACCAGATAAAAGCAAGGCAGTTTTGAGTATACTAAAAACTAAAACATTATCGAGCATTCTCGATCAGTGAGTCACATTAAATTTGTTTAAACATGCATTCTAAAAAATTCTCATATTAATTTTGTAATTTTCCATCATCTCAATTAAATACCCATACATTGATTTGTGTTTTATAACAATTTATGAAAATATTTCAATTCAAAAATAATGACAGATAGACAAACTTCAAATTATTATAATAAAACATTACAATGAGATATTGGATTGTAACTGTTACGTTTTGAAAAGCATTTTTTCGCACCGAATATTTTCTAGTATATAATACGTAGGATAAAGCATAATGTTAGTTTTTCACATTTTTTATCGTTCTTTTAATAAATAATAAATTAATCTTGGTAGCTTGCCTGTTACAAAACTTATTGACACAGAATACAGTTCGAGTTGGATAGGTATATGAAGATAAAATTACAGTAGATCCATTCCCATGTTCCCTGTGCTAGTACCCTAGTTTAAAGATCTCTCAAACCTTTTGGATAAACTCTATCTCTGCTTATTTAATTTCTTAGATTCAGTTTTTTTGGCAATGATAAAAATAATACCTATCTAAAAATTTTATACATTTTTGAACGTTATTTTTTTATTTAGATGTAGTGCAATTCCGTTATCTGTACTGGCAACAACGAATTGATTTCTGAACACAGGTTTACATTGAGAAAAAAAAGTGTACCAGTTTTATATGACGCGAAGTGTACTAGACCTTCTGGAACAAAGAAAGAAATACAAGGACAAGGCAGACGAATACAGAAGAAAACAAAGAAAAATAAAAGAAAAAATATGAACGGCTAAAAGAAAAGAGGATAGATGGCAGACATTCAGAAATGGAAGAATTATATCGGAAGCATATATTGAATTTGCAGCACAAGAAAGTTCCTGAAGTTGCTGGCCTGTATAATAAGAAAAACACTAATACTGTGGTAGATAATGCACGAATAGTTATCATTGATGAACGAAAAATATTTGAAACATGGAATAACTATGTAACTGAATTGTTCCAAGATGACAGGCTACAGAGCAATGTAAATCAAGAAGGACCTGAAATTTTAAAATCTGAATTTCTTCATGCAATAAAATCGGTCAAAACCAAGAAAGCAACTGGACCAGACAACATCCCATCTGAATATTTAATAATGATACAAGAGGGCTACATCAGTGGTCTTTTTACCACAAGCCTTTTAGTGATGTACATACTACTGGTGAAATACCTGAGAAATGTCTTTTTTTATAGCAATTTCGAAGAAACAGCTGCCAAAAAGATGCGACGACTACAGATTAATTAGTCTGATAAGCTACACATTGAAAATTATTTTTCTTCGCATTATTTATTGCGAAAGAGACCTAGAGGAAATCCAGTTTGGATTTAGGAATTCATTGGGTACCCATGGGACGACATTTTTTGGGTTAAATAAAAAAGTAAGAGTAAAAGTTTATTATTGCGAGTTAGAAATCTCTTGGTTGATGTATTATGAAAATCTCTTAAAACAATAGTTATTTTAACGACTTTCCGTTCAACGTTATGGTCCGTTACATGAGGAGGGGGGGGTCAAAAGTATTCAAAAATTGCGTTACGTAATACTTGAACGCCCCCTATCATAATTTAACAAATTGAGCTGTTTTTAAATGCACCATGACGGATATTTAATTTATGACCCTGAAAAAATCGTGTTTTAAGATACCTGCCAGATTTCATCGGTCAATGTCAGATACCAATTTTTCAATCCATGTTAAACTTCTAAAGAGTATACATATGAAATATAATTGTATAATGTAATCTTTATAAAATAAAGTGCTTATTGAAAATAAATAGCTGAACCGGTTAATATACAGTATCTTTATTTTTATACAACAGACCGACAAACCCAGGAAATAAAAAAAGTTTCGATATATATATATATATATATATATATATATATATATATATATATATATATATATATATATATATATACATTACAAGTACCTTTGTACTGCAGTAAGAGAGCTCCCAACTGCATGGAATTCAACTTAAAACACACCGCTGAAAGATTGGCTAGATCTTCCGGGGCGTACTTTGGCGCTTGGAGTAGATGAGCACATTGTACTATTTTTGCCAGATGGCATTCGGCCGCCAATTCCAGTCCTTGAGACTCCGTCCACGCTTGAAGATTTCTCAACCTGTTAAATAACTTTTGCCCAAAACTTCGTGTGCAGAGATTGGCATTGCTGATGACGTTAGATAAAGCCTAAAATAGTCAAGATTTTTATTATTAGATTATATTTAAATAGAGAAATGGGAAGAAAAAAACGTAACAATAAATTTAAATAGCTCAATTAGTGAACGTAAACGGCTATTAATAGCAACCGAAAATGCTCCTCCAATATTTTAAGCTATTTAGTTTATCACATTAGATTCTTGTACCCAATACTGAGCCTCAAATTCCTCAAAAGGACTCAATTCGGTCAAAATATGGAGTACTTGTGGTAGCTAGGCTACAGTAAAAACTTTGAAGTTTACAACTTGTGAATCCTTTTATATATTAAGCAATTAACAATAAAATTTGGTAATAATGTCCCAAGTATCATTTATAAGTATAACTTTCAAAGTTCTGAATATACCGATATTTTAGAACTTACCTTTGCCGATACCCAATGGAACAACTGGGAAAACAATTGTATGGTCAACGCAGCATTGACTCTACATTTCCTTAACAGATTCATAGCACCGCTTAAGACGTTGATGACCTCTCTGGGATGGTCATCTCCTGTTACTGACATCAAGTAAGTCAACGCTGAGTTTAGTTCGTCTGTCAAACAGGCAACAAGATTCTTGAAGGCAAGTTGGACAGCATCGGCGAGGGTGTCTTGTGCTTGCAAGGAGAAAGCGCTAACGTGTCGGTCGGATTTCAAGAAATGTAGCAATTCGCTCGCGTTAGCTAACCAGAAGGCTTGAGATGTGCTTTCTGTACTGCGGTCTTGTACTGTATGCCTGTTGTAAAAATATCTTGTTAGTCTTTTAATTGTTCCAATGAAAAACCTGTTTTACTAAAAATAAACCTAATTACTATTATACTGGGAATAAACCACAATTAAAGATAAAAATACGTTTATTGACGTTTCAATTTCCACTTCGGAAATCGTTCTCAAAATACAAACAGTAAATTAAACAAATTTTGATTTTTGTTACATAGTGAAAAATTCTTCTAATAATTTAATTTTATCTGACTCATTTATATTGACAATTCAGACATACATTATGCGTTTTAAAGTAGACGACTTTAAAATGATATTGCCAATATTGTTGAGTTGCGCTCCTGGGACGACTTTACTTATAAGATAGTTCATTCGATTACATGAAATCAACTTTAACTTGAGAATATCCGTCAGAAAAAAATCATAGCATGTAATTCGTCTTTAAAAAGACAAACACATGACATGATGACAGTAAAATTCTCCTGTTAGTGATTCCATAGTAAATTATGAGGGAAAAACCAGGAAAAAAAACCTCATAATACTATCCCGACATTGTAAGTATTTGTTCGTGAATTTAGTTTACCTTCAACAAACATCAAAATTCTGATTTTATATGTTACGTTATTTAAAAAACATAAATGATGTATCCTCCATATGTTACTGACTTACTAATACTGGTATTTTCTTATTAATAACTTCCTCTTTCAATATTGGTAACCAGATCCTACTACATTCTGCCAAGGAATTTGCGACACAATTGGCCTCATTTATCATAATTAGAGCCGCTTCTTTGATTTTTCTTTTTTTACCATCCGTTTTTTTTAGGACTACATTTGAATTATTCCATTGAACCCTATGTTCATTATCCCATGCGTGTTTACAGATTTGAGATCTATCAAATTCTATGTTTTTAATATAAGATTGATGTTCACTTATTTTAACATTTAATGGCCTTGATGATTCACCTAAATAAAACTGATCGCATTCACAAGGTATTTTATAAATGCAATTCTTTGTCCTTTCTTGTTCATTGTTAGGTTTGGTTTTGGACAAAATAGATCTCAACGTGTTTGTTGTTTTGAATGTTGTTGAAATGTTGAATTTATTTCCTATTCTTTTAAGTTTTTCTGATAGTTCTTTTATGTACGGTATTGTTATTTTCCTCATATTATTCCTTGTGTATGCTATAGGATCTCGTTCTAAGTTGTTCTGTTCTATTCGATCGATTGTTGAAAATTCCTTTTTTATAAACGATAAAGGATAATCATTTTTTAATAAAACAGATGTTAACAAATGTTTCTCCTCCAAGAACGAATTTTCGTTAGAACAAGTAATTTTGGCTCTATCGTATAAGGATTTAATTATTCCCTTTTTTACATTAATATTGTGATTTGATTTGAAATTTAAATATCTATTGGTGTGTGTTGGTTTTCTATACACCTGAGTCTCATATCCAGTATCGTTCTTAGAGATTAAAACATCAAGGAAAGGTAGCGTGTTATTATATTCCTTTTCCATGGTAAATGTTATTGTCTCTTCTTTATCGTTTATATCATTTAGGAATGTGTCCAACAACTCTGATCCATGAGGCCATATTGAGAATACATCATCTACATACCTCCACCATACTGTGGGTTTGAAATTTTGTTTAGAAATGATATTTGTTTCAAAATCTTCCATAAATATATCGGCTAAGAATGGAGATAAACTAGAGCCCATTGCTAGACCAAAATTTTGTTTATAGAATTCATTATTTAGATGAAAATATGTATTATCAGTACATAATGTTAATAACTCCATTATAGCCGATATGTATATATATACTCCATTAAATTTCAAATCAAATCACAATATTAATGTAAAAAAGGGAATAATTAAATCCTTATACGATAGAGCCAAAATTACTTGTTCTAACGAAAATTCGTTCTTGGAGGAGAAACATTTGTTAACATCTGTTTTATTAAAAAATGATTATCCTTTATCGTTTATAAATAAGGAATTTTCAACAATCGATCGAATAGAACAGAACAACTTAGAACGAGATCCTACAGCATACACAAGGAATAATATGAGGAAAATAACAATACCGTACATAAAAGGACTATCAGAAAAACTTAAAAGAATAGGAAATAAATTCAACATTTCAACAACATTCAAAACAACAAACACGTTGAGATCTATTTTGTCCAAAACCAAACCTAACAATGAACAAGAAAGGACAAAGAATTGCATTTATAAAATACCTTGTGAATGCGATCAGTTTTATTTAGGTGAATCATCAAGGCCATTAAATGTTAAAATAAGTGAACATCAATCTTATATTAAAAACAGAGAATTTGATAGATCTCAAATCTGTAAACACGCATGGGATAATGAACATAGGGTTCAATGGAATAATTCAAATGTAGTCCTAAAAGAAACGGATGGTAAAAAAAGAAAAATCAAAGAAGCGGCAAAGAAGAAATTTTATTTAACTGTACTTAATTTGATTCACCTTCATTTAATTTTATTTAATTATTTTTAATTTTATTTGATTTTAATACATTTTTTTGTATTTCATTCAGAATTCTTGTCTTTTCTTCTTTACATGAGCTCAGTGTAATATCCAAATATTTTGCGTTAAATAGAAGAAAAGCTCATGTACAATTTTTATAATACAGCCATGGTATTAATGTTAACTGCTGAAAAAGAATAAGACAGTCTAGCACGAGAATGGGGCAAAGTTGATCCAGAAGATAACAAACCTGTTATTAATGTAATAGCTAATGGTGCGTGGGAACGAAAATGAAATATGCCTGTATTTTCAGCATCATATAATTCACAGGGAAATTAAGCTGTGATCAGTCTTAGCAATTGTATCTTATTGCTATCCTTTTGAAACTCAAATTTATTAAAAAAAAATGTATGGCAGTTGCGGAGTGCCGACTTATCGTTAAAAATTTTGTTTAAAGATTTTAGTAATTTTCAAAATGTGGTAACTATAATACCTATAGAATTTATTCATCATAAATTTTTATTTTTATCTGGTACTTATTCTTAATTATTTCATTTTACTTAATTTTTTTTTAATTTGTATATTTAATTTAATTTTACTTAATTTTATTAGATTTTATTTAGTTTTGTTTAATTTTATTTAACTTTTTAAATTTTATTTAAAAATAAAATAGACCAGGTTTGTAAGTAAGAAGTCTTCTTTAAGCTTCAGAAAGATATATATATATATATATATATATATATATATATATATATATATATATATATATATATATATATAATATACTTGGGAATAAAAAAATCGACTCACTCGATGAATTGCAGTTTATGCTTAGTAATTTTATGTCGTGTTATTTTAATTAAAATAACTAATACAAAAATATATTGCCTGTTATAATGCAAAAAAATAATTGTAAAATGCAAAAAATGGCAACGTGTTGTTGCTTACTTCTATATAGCACACGAAATGCAGCAAACAATATAACAGGCATGTTCTAGCAATGTATAATCCGTTGCAAGATAATTCGGATGGAATTCCCCAGATTAAGAGATTGGGCCAATATCAAGCACAAAATAACTGTACTCCCTTAATGCTGTAACGAATAGTCATCCTTAGTCTTTCGTTGCATTAGGCTCAATTCTAAATTATATCCAAAGGTTAAAGCTACTTTACTAAATGATACAAAGTAGGTGTAGCCAGGTAAGTATTTCAATTTTGAGTTAACGATTGGTAAATAAAATTTTAAGCATAATTTTGTGTATCTATTTAAATTTAATCAGCTAATTGCATTTGTACTTGGAATTCAAAATTATAACTTTCTAGGTAAGCAAACTTAATGTTTATAAGAGATTAGAAAGTTTTTTGAAAGTTTATTAACGTAAAAGGATAATATTTACATAATATAAAATTATCACTAAATGGGCGTCTGTGAGAAAAAAGTTGCTGAGCGGGATCGGTTAACGCGGAGGGTGGCTGAAGCAGCGGTCGCCATGTTGCTGGCAGTTTCTTTTGGCGTTTAATTAGAACAGAAGTCTATAAGAAGTGTAATAACTATAAATATCAGTGATATAGAAATTTTTTAACTCTTTATTGTCTGTATACTTTGTTTAGTATCAATTCAATAAATTAAAAATAAAAGAAGACAGTCACATTCAGAAACTTACCAAATAAACAAGTAATTTTAGCAGTTATCAGATATCAGACGTACTTGGTGCACTTTACAATCTCTTAGATAGACAATCCCAACTAGAAAGTGATGCTTCGAAGATTCTAGACAAAAATATGCTAATAGGGGAATTATAAAAGTTACCACTGTGTAATAGCAAGAATGGAATCTCAAAGATAAAGGAAACACATTACAATCAACTGCTAATGTGTAAAGAATGCGCCTGCGCATCATGGCAAGTAATTGGTAACCCTTTTCCAAAACTTTCAAAAAAAATTCATTCCCGCAAAACAACATTCCCGCAAAACATACATTCCCGCAAAATTCGACGAGAATATTTAATTTCTGTTCGCTGTATTTTACGTTTTACTACTTCTTTGTGCTATTAATACATCATCTACCAACAAAATACCGAGCAGGATTTCTTAAAAAGTAAAATTAAATATTTTTTCTTAGGTCTTCTTTCGACGATGGTTAAATAAGAAACAATCAAAAAGACGGATATTTTGACACAAGCGCCACGATCCACTGTGTACGAACTTAAAGACGGTCCAGTGTTGCGAAAAAAAGGATGGATTCATCCACAATATATCATATGTTTTTAGTGTTTTATATATTTAGTACTTTACTAAATAAATTTTTAAGTGAATTAAGAAACAAAGAAATAATCGCCGAGTGTCATAAGACTACTTTTTGGAGGTTTTTAAAATCTAATGGTTTTATGTTTAAAACAGTGAATAAACGGCGGGCAATTATGGAATCCAGCCGTTTAATAAAATAGAAGTTCGATTATTTGGAGGGTATAAGGTATTTTAGGAGTTAAGGGAAGAACTTGCATTATTTGGATGAGACTTGGT